CCAGTTTTTGGCATGTGAGAAATAACTGAGCAGCAATCACGATTTCTGTTGGAAGTAGCAGGAAATCCTGGTGCCACTTATACCATTTCAAGACTATTGTGGGCTAATGGCTAGAGAATGTTCTGGGGAAATAGGAGGGACTGGCTCTACTCCCATCTCAGGCATGGGGATTAAACACCTGGCATTTCCTCTCCTGATGGGGTTATAACTATACTTCTGGTCTGCACAAGACCCGGAATTGTAGAAGGGTGATGTACGGCTCACTCCTGGCCCAAAGCAGTAGCCTAAATTAGGAACCCAGGGGTAAAATGTCCCACTGGGAGTGAGAGGATAATTTTAATACTTCCCTCAAAACTGTCTGCATGTTCACCTACACACATCCACCTGCAACTTCCTCCCTGGACCCAAAATCCTTAAACACTCAGCAGCAGGAACTGCTCTCTTGCTTGTGCCTTGCTCAGTGCTGTCTGCCCAGTGTTTCCCAGTCCAGTGTTAATGCAGGCAGAGCAGGTAGGTGCCTTCTGTGCTGAGTGGCAAGGCACTCCTCAGGAGGGTCTGCAAGTCTTATCTAAATAAGAAAACATAGAGACCTTGTGGTTTGAGGCGTGTACCCAGCTGGTCACCCTGAGAAAGATGCATGGGGTGGAAAAGGAGCTCCCAAAGAAACTTACAGCCTAGTAGGGAGGTTGCAAGAGACATTTCAAAAATTCTGAGTATAATAAACACACTGAGAAAGAGATTTCTGCATTACATTTCTGTACTTAGCCACTTCTCAAATTCCTGTTTTGTAAACCATTTTTAAAACCATTTCTTTATCTAAAGGTATGTCAGCAATATTGTGAAAGATGGCACTGCAGATTTATCATAGCAGAATAGTTAAAGAAGTTTTCTCTCTGTCTTTCTTAATTTTGTTTCTTCAGAACATGGCAGAGAATTGTTGCTCTACTGCCTTCTTTTAAATCTTCCTCTTTCACCCTTCTTTCTGACTAAATCTGACTTCCCTTGTTGGCCTTGTGCAAATGGCTGTGTAGGGAGGGTTGTACCATTTTCTGGATAACCCAATGGTAACTGTAATGAAAGCATTACTAAAGGTGCAATACTGTACTGTTCAGCACAGTATTACACCTGTAGACCTGTAGACAGAGACAAAAGAGATGTCATTACTTAGTAGGATGCTGTGTTCATACTCAGATAAGTTTCAGGTATAATCCCAAGGTGTCTGTGGTATTACTATTGCAGCTGAAGCAGGAGGAATACCTTGGCACACAATGAGCTACATAAATGCTACTTTTGCAAAGAAAGAAAGAACAATATTCTAGTTTAAATAACAGTCAGGGATGTTGTATGTAACTATTGTAAGCAACACGGGCTGAGGAATTAATACAGTGATAGAAAAGTACTGGGCTTTAGCAATGTGCTTATGATTAATCCCTAAATATGGATATTCTAAAATTGAAGTTAGTATAACATACAACATGTTATACTAACTTAAAATTGAGTAAGTACATCATTGGACTTAGAGAAAAAGGCTAAGTATTACAGGAACAGGAATCAACACAGCATCTAAAACCTGCTTGGGAACTTCAGCAAACAAATTTTGGTGTAATTTTAAACTGCATTACATTGCCATAATAATCATTCTTATATAAGCTCAGGTGATCCCAAGAACTATCAGTACATTATCTATAATTCCTTTTGTTTATGGTCATAAGCATCATCTCAGGAAAAACTCATGCATACCTTAAAACATCTGCAATACCTGTTCTTAAAACACATTCGAAAACAGTTTGAAATATTGTTGTTTCTCCATCTGTAATTGTAAAAAAGAAAATAAATTTAAAACCCCATTTAAATAGATTTTAAAATTGTGCAGCTGAAAACTAATTTCCTGATCACTTCATAGTGTGGTCCTATAGTGTGGATGTGGAATTAGCACAAGTCAGGTGGTCCTGAGCAGCCAGGAGAAGGCATGGAGAACCTCCTGTGGTACTGCCATGGAAGCCCACCTGTGCTTGAGTCATGGTGTGAGCACACACTGGGGAGCAGACTCATTTCTGTTTCCACCCTCTGTTCCTGATAGCACAGCTCCAGAGCTGTCCAGCCTTCCTTCAGCTGCAAGCAGGCTGCCCATGGGCTGTAGTGTCCCTGTGAAAAGGTGATCCTTCTAACACAAGAGACCCAAAACAGCAGGCACTTGAGCACATCCCAGCTTGTCTGGCATGTCATACCTGAACCTGGATCACTGGAGATGGGATCAGAGCCATGGAGGTGTTGGTTTGTTCCTCTGTCTGGAGGCTGACAGGGTCCATCTCCTGGGGTTCCCCTCCTGTGAATCTTTCTGCCTCCCTGTTGTTTCTGCCCTGCCCTTTGACCAACACTTTGTATTTGCATGTACCTTTTAATTTCAATGAGATCATAATCCTTGATCCAGTACTGATGCCAGCCTAAGTGTGCTGTAGTGTTATGGGCCAGTCTTATAGTTAAAGTAGAAAAAAATTATTCTTAGTCAGGGGCTTTATAGTTTGATAGTTAAAATATTGTTGTTCAACTGTTCTTGAAATTTTTGCCAGTGGAAAAAAATTCAGTGAAAAAGATAAAAAAGGTGCTGGATTTTATCTAGCATGTCACCCATTCCTGTGGTCAGAGCTGGCTGAAATAAAAATGACTAGAAATAAATAGACTAGTTAAGATTCAGCATGGGAAATAGTTCTTACTCATTTACTCATATGTAGTATCATATGGTGCAGTCATTTTAGTTAACACAAGGGAAAATAACATGTTAAATATTTTACAGATTGGTTTGTTTGTTTGTTTGTTTGTTTGTTTGTTTGTTTTAATTAGGAGAGACAGGAGCAAGAAACATTTTAAATAGCTCTTTCAGTACACAATAACAAACGTTCTCAAAATCTCATGAGATAAGATTTACCTACATCTACAGCTGTAACCCAGCCTGGTGCTGCAGGCACTCTTGGCACAAAGTGCAAGAAAAGCAGACATAGAGGAGGTAAATTCAGCTGGTTTTGATCTTGCTTATGCTTTCTAACAGTATTGTGTTAATCTCAGTGCCATTGGTAGGAACTGTTGTGGATTTTAAAGCTGCTGACAGTTTGGAAGACAAAGTTCTCCCTTTGCCTACTTGATACTAAATCCCTATAAATGCAGCAGAAGTGATGATGCGAACAAGAGCAGAGGCACCCACCAGACTGGCTTTACACCATGCTGCAGAACACTTCACAGTACAGTGTGTAACTGGATGAACAACATACTTGTGCTTGTACTCACTGTACATCTGTCCAAGAGTCGTTGTTTATATGTTCTTCATTAATCTTTATTGTCAGTTTGAACCAATACAGACTGCACGGAAGAGCCTGGAAAATATGCAGACAATTCCAGGCATTTTTCTCTGATCTAGATGTCCAGTTTTTGCTTCAATTGAGTTGTCTACCATAACTTAATCAAATGCAAGTTTGCGGCGCACATTGTAACTACATATTATTTCTGTATCATTTGCATCTTGCATTACTTCTGACACAGCCGAATGGTTCTGGGAAGATTCAGACAGTAATAAGACTTCTTCCTATTAGAGACAAATCCTCTGAGCCCTCTTGGCCACCACTTTATATTTTATGTAATCTCAGTGACACATGACTGCAACATGTGCTGGACACATGACCGGATCACATGTTCTACATTGAAATGGAAGTGCCACACCTTTATTACATTTTGACATTACATATTTCTGACCCAGATGAGAATATTTAATTTCCCCTCTGAAAAGGGATGCCCTTCCAGACCATTTAAATATGAGAAAAGCTGTTAGAATGCTTTTGCTGAGACAAATGTTACGCAAATCATTGTATTATTCACTGCATGTCAACTAGACTAAGAATCCAAGTCCTTATGCCTTTTTCTTATTAAATTAATGGGGTTCAAATGTGTAAGGTGTTCAGAGGCTTGTTTGTCCAGGTAGAAAACACCTAACTCCTAGTTTTTAAGCTGTCTGAAAAATGAAGGTGTGTGAGTGCTCACTGTGTTACTGTGACTGAAGGTGTTCACAGCCACATGTGTTGCTCAGCACATACACCACGAGTGGTCTGTGAGACATCAGAAGGCACAACGTGCTTTGACAAAAGCTGCATTTCTCATTTAATACAGAACTTACATTTTTGTAAAACTTAAAATTATGTGTTAATGCAAAGAGCTTTGCTTGCTTGAACTCCCACAACTGTGAAGCAATAAGATTATACCTGGTGGCCCCTGGATATTTTTTCCAGTTATGCGGGAGAAGTGTTGATGTAGGAAAAAAAAAAGTTGCTGATCCAGTTCCCTTCAAACCTGTGGAGTCGTGTCCATGCTCTGCCTCCCCAGTACTTTGTGCTGTAGCAGTCATGCTCGATGGCCTGAGGCTTACCCTGCTGTGTGTCTATCCACAGCACAGCCACCCAGCTGCATTATGGAGCGTGTAATCCCAGCCTCTTGTTCCCAGTTTCTCTTTTCCTGCCTCATGGGTTTGTTCATTTTGCTAGAGATTACTCAAATCCTGACTTTCTCTAGCTCCACAAATATGTCTTTTGAGCTGCTATTACACTTATTTGCAAACTATCTCTTTCTGGATTTTGCAAGTCAGGTTTAAAATATCCAGATTGTTCATTGGTCTGCAGCTCTATATTAGGTTAGAAGAAGCTGAAAAAGGACAACCAAGGTAGCCTCAGCTGGCAAAGACACAGGGTTTAACACGTCTGCTGCTGGTGACCCAGTAATATGGAGCTGTACCCTACACCATCTGTACTCACCACCAGGGATTCACAGAGGAAACTAAATTTAAAGTGTACCAACCTCCAAGCAGATCAAACCTGAGCACATGTAAGACTGGGGGTGCACAAACCACCACACACACAGAGTCTAGACTGTCTAAAAATGTGCTCATGCATACACAAAGACAAGGAATTTATTGTAAAAGTCCAATAATGCTTTTATTTTTGTTGTTTAATTCCCAGAAGGGTCATCTGCAACGTGTCTCTCCAAGAAGACTCCACAATGAAAAAAACAACCCAGAGTTGCTTCTTACTCATCATCCTTCTAACTGTAAGTACAAGAAAACTGAACTGCTCATGACACCCGCTGTGTTTAAACTTGTGGTGATGTTGACAAAAATGAGTACCAAGTTATACTTGTTATATTCCACAGGTGAAGGAAGACTTTCCTTATTAATAAATTTCAAAAGAAATAAGATTAATAAGATTAATAAGATTACCTAATAAAAGTCTGAACTTGAAAACATTGTTTCTTGGTGAGACAGAACTGTAAGTCTGAAGAGGGTTATGCATATGATTTTCATTTCTGTGTTTTACAGGCTACAGCATATAATGGGAACATGTGTATTTGAAAGCTGCTCTTAAAGTTGTTCTGTGAGACAAACTGACTTAAATAGTGATGGATTTTCACTGTTTATAGTTGATCTGCTATTAGAAAAGTGACCAAAATGAAAAAGAATCTTATAAATCTATTTATTACATCAAATGTTATTTTCAACTGTTTCATATCAACATTACATTTATTTTAATGTAGGCAACATGGCAGAGTAATTGTGGTCCTAAACATGTAGTAAATTCATTTCTGCCTGACTAAATACCTCTCACATAAATTGAATCCTTTTGTTGAACTCTACTTGTGAAACCTCAAATTATTATTGATCATCATAAAATCATAGATATTACAGGCAGTCAGAATTAAGAATACTGCCCAGAACCTAACATAGAATGAGCATATGTCTGAGTGATGCTGCTGGGAGCAAGCACCTCACTACCCTGGTGTGGTACGAGTAATTTGCATGATGCCTGCCACCTTATTCCCCATCTAACTCTAGCCCTGTGCTCCTGAAGAAAGCTTTCTTCTTCTTCTTCTTCTTCTTCTTCTTCTTTCTTCTTCTTCTTCTTCTTCTTCGTTTTGTTGGTTTGCTCCTCCTGCCCCTCTGGTTCTCATCTTCTTTAACATCTGAATGTGAAATACCTCTGTGCATCTCCTCATCAAATCCCTTTGGAGAAGCAAAAGAAACTCACATGCTGTAGAAAATATGTTGAAGACCATAAGCAACTGCTCTACCTGGTTTACTTATTGGGTTGTACCTCTCCTTTCAGCCTAGCAGAGTTTGTCCACAATGCTGTTTGCCACTTAAATTTATATAGATAAAAAAGGAAAGGAAAGTAGAGAACAGTAAGAGAATGATGGATAGAAGGAGGTAAAAAGAAAACAATTAAATGAGATCATGGAGAATCCAGGAGAACAGCAAAGAACACATTACTTCAGTAAAATATTGAATTCATGGTTCAGGATTAGAACCCTCTATCAAAGAAGAGCTGAAGAGATGGAGAAATAATTGAGGAGAGTTAATACATTTCTGCTAACTTAGTCCCAAAAGAATTTGTCCAGAATTAGTTAATGATTTGAGGAACCGTCTCCATCCCTAAGAGCAGTCTTCTAGCCTGAGGCATACTAGAGTATTCTGGTGTTTGTGACCATCTGGGTTGGCTGCTCTACCTGTCCTCCAAGGGTGCATGTGGCAATGCACTGTCTGTGAAATCACCCATTGTCAGAAACATTTGCAACAAAGAGCCTGAGAGAGACCAGCTTTCTTCTGGTTTGAATCTCATCTGATCTGCATAGCTTCATAGGGGTCTTGACAGAGAACAGCAGTACTTCCTATAAAAGTCAATGTCAAATGAAGAAATAGATCCAGCTTATTTTGCTCCCAGTCAAGTGACAGGACTGTAAATATTCTGATAACTAAAATAGTCAACAGCACTTCTGAGCACTTGAGGTGCTTTGATCTACAGCATGGGTTTGTAGGTCAGCCCTGGAGGACTGATCCTTGCCCTGTTGTCCCCAGACCTTTTAAATCTCTTACCCATGAGAGCATGTGTGCAATGTTAGATCTGTGCTCATTCCTGCAGTACTCAGGGGGAGGATTTCTTTTAAAAACTCTTCAGTGAGATCCTCATCTGCATTCATTTTAAATACCTTTGCACCAAAGAGCACTTCATATTCTGACCTCAGTAGATAACTTACATTTTCACTCTTCCAATCTCGATGTGCTCTCCTTTCCCACTGCAGTGGGCATACTGTGCTCTACTTTCATATCTCTTAGGTTAATTTCCATTTCGGTAGGGAAGAAGCCACAGTCACAAAAGCAGACCACAAACAAGCTTTTCTTTCCATCATGAAACTTATCTAAAATACTGCTGTGAGATCAAATATGAAAAATATTTTGCCTCAGTCATTTTTCCAAAAACTTCCCCATCTGCAGATGGTAGAAAACATTCATTTTTTGCATGTTATGTATGGTTTGTAATGGGTAAAGGGTGTCTCTCTTTCAAAAAGGCTGTTCCCACTCTGTTGGTTCTTCAAATCACTCCTTTGTTCCAAGAACTGTGATACATGTCAGCCACTATCTGAGGCTGAGGAAAATGCAGTAATTAAGGTGATTTGTGACACAGACAGGAGTGATCTCCCATCCCTCTCCTCTACCCACCCCACAAGACACCCTCTAGATCTCCCTTCTTTGATGACTTTCATGGTTTTCTGTCATCCTGTCATTTGTGACCTGCACTCCCAGCTGGTCACTGCAAGCTGTTGCAAAGCAACACAACCCTGAGGTCCTTGTTTGCTCCTCTGGGCTCCAGGCTCTCTCTTTGTGCTCTTTGGTCCACTGTGGGTGCTGGTGGTTCCCCTGTGGTGGTCACCACTATTGAGTAGGGGAGACCTTTGCCTGAAATCTCTTTTCTTAGTGTAACTGTGATTCCCTAACACAATCTCAGAGCTGGAGCACACCCTGCCCTCTATATAGAGTTAGTGCTTTGCAGAAGCCTTCCTCAGTTACTTCTCATATTTCTCCTTCAATTTTTTGTCACAGACAAAAAATTACTTGGTGTGTACAGACACTTCCTTCCCACCACCTCCTTTAGACTTGTCACCAAGGGCTTTTTGTACCTTCTGACAGAAACCATCTCTTTTATGCATGCAATTTTTTGCATAGAATTGATAGCACTTCCATGTACAGATCCATAATAACCTGTCTTTGCCAAAAAAACCCTGAAGTGTGAGTTGTTCCAAAACCTTATTTAGAAATACAAGCAACTCCCTATTGGCTTCCTCTTTGATGGATTCCCTTGCTTTTGGATACAGGATAATGCATCACCATATAGTCCTCTAATATAAAAAGGGATTTCCACTAGAAAATTTAATTGTTCAATATGTCATAGTTCACTTTAGACTGATGCTCTCTAGTTTTTTGCAATTATTGAGAGCCACAGAATATAACTGAGATTTGTTTCCTCAAGTACGTGAGCCCTGGTATGCTGGAGCAATTAGTTCATGTCCTCAGTGCACATTTCTCTTCACAAGAAAGATGGAGCATCACCACAGTGTGCCCAGCAGCATCAGACTTCTGAGAATGAGGAAGAAGAAGAAGGTTTGGGTCTCTTTCCTGTGTGGCCAATCAATTTTTCAGGACATTGACGGAAGAGATTTCTATTCTCTACTTTATTTTCTCAAGTAAGAGCTGTGCCTACAAATGGCCCTGGAAATGAGGATTGATGAAGCAGTTTTTCCCATATACTCCAATTCTGTGTCCTGAGCCAACCACAACATGTGTAGTAAGGACTAAATGGATGCTGCAGCTGAAGGCCACACTATTTTCAATTAGGCCCCCTAGACCAATATTATATTTTAAAATAAATTCTTTTTGAGAGGAAAAAAAAATTGTGCATGTTCACTGAGTCCAAATCTGTTAAATTGTTACCAAGCCCTAGTCACAAAGATATGCAGAGTCTGGTACTTCTTTCCAACACTTAAAAGACTTGTGAATAATTCCTGTTTATGAAACATTAAAAATTAATTATATGAAAGCCTAAATGTAATTTTTCATAATTGCATACACTGGTGTATTTTGGAACACAGCTGTGGTAGGGTAGATTCAAGCTTCCAGAGCCGTCAGTCAAGCACTTATCATCATGATGTGGGAGCTGCCCATGGTGTACCTGTTTGATCCTCACAGCTGGGAGGGCAACACACACTGGTGGAGTGGCCACAAACTCCACTGGGCTCCTGCTCCTGCTGAGCTCAGTGGCTCTCAGTGTGCATCTCTGAAACCCATGCCTGTGCAGGTACTGTGAGAACGTCTTTTCTTGCTTAGACAGCATCTCTTCCAGCATCTGCTCCAGAGCAGATCTCCCATGGGCCAGAAGAGCTGCTGAAGCTCTGTCACAGCCTCCTTTGTCTCTCTTCTTCTGAGCCTTCTTGCTGTCTGGCACCTCTGGCAGCCCAGGGTCTTCCCCATCCTTGGATGGTGAGATCCCCCTGGGTCTCATCACCTTAGACCATGCTTTAGAAGCTGCTGTTCTGCATGCACACCTCCCTGAGTAACTATTTATGGGTTGCTTCATGCTGTAAGTATGTGCAGTCAGAAGTTCTGAACCCGTTCTCACACAAGGGAAGCTCTGGAAAGCAAACTGCTGATATTTTAAGGTGGTAAGAATTAGTGTGAGAATTTGGGAGTCAAGCTGCTCATAATTTCCCAAGAAATAGGAATGCTATATTCTGTTCTATTCACTCACTTTCAGGGATGATCAGGACATTTTGACTACATCTTTGCTTTTTTTTAAAACAAGGCTGTTGCTATGCAGCTGATTGCAGTAAAGAGGCCTTTCACAAGAGGATAATCAGGGCCGCAAGAAAATATCCATGAAGTATTTTGGATTAGCCCACACTTTTTATCAGGCTAAAATGAAAGTAAAGCTTCTTCTGTAAGCAAATCTTGTACAAATGGAAAAGAACTGTAAGATCTGTAACTTGCTTTTCATTACAACAGCCTTGTCTTCATCTAGAGCACCTGATAATCTCATGCTTGTTTAAACAGCTGCCAAAATCTGCCATGTTAGTCATATGGGATCTCACTGAGATAATTACCATCCTGCTCCAACAGTGGTAGAGTATGGGAAAATTCTAACATTCAGATTAAGTAAAACATGTCATGTTGTAGTATTTCTCCAAAGAAATTGCCTGCTGCTTCCTAGCACACTTCTGATGGATAGAAATGATTATGTTTACTGAATATCGCATGCTAATGACCTTCCTAAGGTATCAGAGTTGTTTTCTTATCTGTCCCAACACTAGCAGTTGTGAAAAGTAGTTCAAACATAATCAAAGTATGAGAGGGGCTCTGCAACTCATCTAAGTCATGCTGAGCTCTTGCTCTAAAATGTGATGTATTGAAGAACAGTAGTGATTGACAAAGAGATGACTGCACACAGCAGTTTTAAAAGAATTATACCAATTGAACGTTTGATCTGTTGAAATCAATAAAAAACAGTTAGAGCATCAGAATTTCTGCTAGTCTGAGCTCACCAATAATTGTTGCTAAATTACTATATTTAGCGGAAGAGGGGGAAAAAAAAGACAGCTACAAATGCTTTCTTTTCCTAAATGTCATGTACAGTTAGTGTTAGTGTCCTGCAAGCTCCTTGATGGCAGAAGAAAAATATTTGGGGATGCTTGTTCATCGTGTCCAATATTTTGTGGGGAACAAAAAGTGGAAGACTTTTATGCTTATTTATCTGGATTCTCCCTTGCAGAAATGGGCACAGCCTGGCACAGGTTAACAGCAGTTTCTCTTACAGAAACCAGGGCACTGTTTGTTCATTCCTGTATAGTTTAATAATGAAGCCAAATTGCTTTCTCAGAATCCTTTATTCATTCCAGGTATAAAGTGAACTGCAGCATTCCCAGCAGCTTGTTGTTTCTCTTTGTAATGAAAATTCACTTTCTTATGTCAGTCATTTGTCACGTGGTGGCTTGGTGGTCGTATGTATGACGTCATTTACTTGGACTTTTAGGAGTGACATCATATGTACGGCTGCTAAACTGCTGCATGGGACATCACTTAAACTGTTTTCTTCTGAAGAATTCAGTGCATTTTTAAGCAATTATCACATTGATTATTGTGAATTATTTATTTCTCTTTAATAAAGAATATTTTTAAATGAATGAGGCATTCCTTTATTGTATAAACTTCATCTATATTTCCATCTGAAATATCTGGTGAATGGATGGGAAGGCTTTTTAATGTGCATTAATGAACAATGAACATTTAAAATTTGTTCCATATTTCATAGATTCAATATTTGTCGGTAGTTGCCAAGTGAAGATTAATTGACCTTGGCTTTTTTGTGGTACAAATGTATCTTTTAAGTCTTAATTTCTAAAATACATTGACATAACAATGAAAACATAGTAGAAGAGGTGAGCTGAAATCATTAATTCCATGAGAGTTTATACAAACACTGATATGGAGACATTCATGGGACATTCCCAACCTCTGCCATTAACACAATACAGACTAAACTTTCTCTCCCATGTAGCCATACCCAAGCTCCTGCTACTTCTGAAAAGGGAATAATTACCCAGAGATGTCTTCCTGCCCCATTTGCCTTTTTCTGACAGCTACAGTAAGGAGTGAGGGAGACTAAAACAAGTAATAACATCTGGCATCACAAACTGCATCAAAACTTTTGTCTGATTAAACTGCAGGTACATAAAGGCTGGATCATCAGCCCACTGGACTGACTTTGGAGGGTCAGGCTTTAAATTCTGGGTGGTAGACATGGGGATTCTCTTCTGTATGGTAAAAAAACCCAGTATTTGAAACAGGGATATGACTTCTGCACCTCCAGCAAGCCACAAAATTTATATTTCATTAATCTGCTGAAGTGGTAATCTGATTTAAATGGAGAAGAAAATTGTGTTCAAGCTTCCAAGGCCAGTTTTTCAAAGCTAGGTAAACAAAAATGAGGAACAGCAATCAAAGGAAAGAGTAGATTTAAAGGGCATATCACACATGAATAATCCCAGTGACATACCTATGTATAACCCCCTAATTTGATTTCATACACAAACTATTCAATTACATAAAAAGTGCCCGGAAATATTTTTGGGGAATTACCTTTGGAAATCTGAGTCATTGTGTTTAGTAGAAAGGAAAAGAAAAAGGGGAAAAAAATTTAAGACACAACTATTAATCTAGTGTTATTATTCCAACTCTTATCCAAACTTGCTTTCATTTTACTGGAGGCCATTAAGTGATTTCCACTGATGAGTTTTAGTGACACAACTCATCCATATTTTTATCTGTCTGAGAAATTGCTTGCCTAAATGTGGGCAGTAGAAATTTCAGCTGCTCCATGATTGTCTTGTGCAGGGGCAGTAGAATGGGACTCCTGCTTACATGGCTGAGCACTCTTACATAATTTTGTACACAATGCAAGACATTTAATCTATCCATCATCACAGGAACTCTCTGCATCCAAATATCAGAATATTCTCATTAAACTTTACCCAATAAGAGCTGACTTCTTCAGGAATTACACACTGCAAGTAACGAAACTATCTATAAGAATACTGCTATTTTAGTGTCCAAATTTTGTTTCACCCCTCAAAACCATCATCCCACACATGTATGTGCTCCCAAACTGGCCCAGAATTGCAGAGAAATTATCAAGAAGGCATTGACACATAAGTCCTCCTGGCATCCTGTGGTGAAACTGTTAGTTCTCTCTTGAGTACAAACAGTTTGGAACTGAGGTATTATTCAAAATAAGAATGGGAAAAAATTACATGCAACATCACTTCAGAGAAGCACCAGTGCCTGTGTCATGGACATAGACACGAAGGGCTAAGACAAAGCTGAGGTTGTCTGAAGAACCTCATCTCCACTTTCCTGGGCTGGGTTTAGGATTTTTCTTTGTTGTCTTTTAAACTATTACTGGGGACTCCAGCTGCTCCCCTTAGTCTTTTTAAAGCTAAGGGATCTGTGATGTTTGGCTTTGCTTCTGTATTTCCTCTTCTGACTTTCTAGATACTTAGTTTTTCACTTGGATGGCCAGATGAAATGTTTCAAATGGCTTCATTGTCCAAATATATCTTGGAGGGAGGGGGAGAGGGTGATGCATACATATATCTAAAATTTATATAAAATTATCTCTGCCAGAAAATATTTTCATTCTTATTCCTCCTACTTTATTTCAAGCACCTACTTAAGTACAAGATTAACTGCCTCCATGACCTCCACTAGCAGGTGTATACAGTTGAAAACTTCTGTGTCAAAAGAGATGGTGAGATGAGATGAGATGAGATGAGATGAGATGCAATGAGATTAGAAAAACATAATTTATTTGATTTAAGACTATAAAAATATTAAACTGACATAGTTTGGTACAGAAGTATCAGGATAAAAGTAACGGCTTTTTTTCAATGAAGTCAAACACACTTTGTTTTTACCGTGTATTTACAAAAGTGATTTAGCATGCAAATGGGGAGGAAAAGTAATGTATTGATGGAATACAATTGCCTGTGATGTGACATAAAAAAGGGGAAGCAAAATGTAAGGAGTAAGCCGATATTTGAACTTTCAAACCTGTCATGTTTTAAGTTCAAACATCTAAAAAATCCATGCCTAAAGATCTCTATATTAGCATTTGTTGTTAAAAAGGTCAAGTTTGTGTGTTTACGTGACTCCTAGATTTTGAAGCAGCCTGCAAATGAATCTGAAATGTGTTTGTGGCGGCTTTATTACCATTTAGTACAGGGGAAAACAGAGGGTCATGCTAGGAAAGTGCTGCAGTGATGCTGCTTATGAGTGGGGAAGCAGAGGAACTTTTACTATCACCTTCACGCAAAGAAGAGTCATGATACAGGATTAAGGCAGAACAGAACAAACTAAAGCTCCACACTTTCATTTCCATTCACAGACCTCAGCTGCACAAGGCAGGGAGGGAAGGAGGGGAGGAGGGATGGAGGGATGGAGGGAGGAAGGGAGGGAAGGACGGATGGATGGAGGATGGATGGATGGATGGATGGATGGATGGATGGATGGATGGATGGCAGGCAAAAGAAGATAACTGACCTCTCTAGCTGAGATATTTGCCTTCCAAAGGCAGTGATCCTTTCCTTTAACAGGCAGGCAGTTCAGAGTGGTATCATTCAGAAGATGTCACTATACCAAAGAGGACCTTGCTATTTAGACTATCAAATTTAGGAAGTCTGATTGGGTACTTAACTAGGAGCTAAGGTATCATGGTTTAAACTCTACCTTCTTTGACCTTAACTGTTGCAGAAGCTCAAAGCAAAGGTTGTGACACTGAGGTATTTTTTCTGCATTGTCTAGAGCTGAATCAGCACAAGTGAACAGAAATACATGGGTTTAACAGAAAATTCTCTTGCAGACACTAAATTAAATTAAAAGATTTTGGTGACTTTATCAAGCATTTAATGACCCTCTCTTCACCAAGAAAAATGGCTTGGTTAAAATATTATGTTTTCATGAGGTAAACTAATAAAACTCAGCATTTACTTTGTAAGTAGTACAAGGCCATCATAATGATAAACATATGTGCAAATAAAAGACCTTTTAAAAATGAGTAATAGAAATTTCTGGTCCTCACTTTTTTTAAATTTAAACCCCTTTGTTTTTCCAGTTGTACTAACAGCTTTTCCTTTCCATACAGAGAATTGTTCCAAGTCTTTCTTCTACTGTAAATTATACTGATCCTACATTAGAGCCTGTAGTAACTGAAAATTCAGTCATACGGCAGAAGATAATAGATTCACAGTTCAAATGTTATGAGAGGATGAACAGAGCTCCTCCATACAAGAAAAAAGGTAAAAAGGGTTTTTTAAGAATCTGTGTTTTGCTGTGTGTGGTAATATAACTATAAAGAAATATTTTCTTCTCTATACTAACCCATAGTCTTCCTCAGGGTGCATTTTCCTTTCCACAAGCAGTAATCAAATTCACACTTAGCATCCTCCTAAGTGCAAAGAAAGGAAAAAAGTCTGGAAAGAGCCCAGGGAATGAACAGCTCTTCCTTCCTCTGTCACCTACATTTCGGCTGAGTACTTTGCTGCTTGAATCTCTCTTGTTCTGGCTTGAGGAATAACATTTTCCTGAACTTCTCAGCAAGGTCACACCTGATTGTGAATCCTAAATATAAATGTTGTTCTGTTTGCTCCACTCGGTGTTTCAATTTTTTGCCATGTGTGTATTTACTGCTGGGCATTGTGCTCTGTACCAGCACAAGTTCCACATATTCTATATTTGGCAACAACAATAGGAAAAAGAGGTTTATAAAACACTAAGACTTATAAAAGAGGTTTGTTAGACATCTTTATTGAATACAAGGCTTAGGTGAAGATTAAAAGGGAAATGACATATAATAGTGGTGCTGCAATTGCATTTAATGCAACATTTCTGTTTGGGACTGAGATTTCTGGTCACTTTTTCTCACAGAAGATACAAAGGAAGATATGGGGAGCTAGAGAAAAAAAAATCAAAGGAAGTGTGAGACTTTTGCAAGCAAACAACAGATGATGAGGACATAGCTTAAAGGGAAAATATATTTTAAACAATTAACAAAAACACCTAACCTAATAGTGGTGTTGGAGATAATGTGGGATTTTTTGTAGTACAAGAATAAAGACATTTCTACAACTCTTAAAAATTTTACTGGGATCTGTAAGACTCAAAAATAGTTAGATGTTAAGACAGATAATCAGGTATTGATGCAGAAATATTTGGGAATGAATATAGAGATTCCCACTGCTTAAAATAGGTTTTAATTCAGCTGAATAACACCCACAAGCAGTTAAACAGGATTATTGGATACAAGGAATATGGTTTCAGTCGTAAATAAGCCTTTTAGTTGCTGGACTTGCAGGGGAAGTAACTTACTGTTTCTTGTTAGATTACCTTTTAGTCTCTACCTCTATAAACACCTGATTTTTGCATCCATTGACAATGACCACTGGATTCACCTTTCTTTTGCACTTTCCTTGTGAGATAAGTTGCAAAGGGTTGATTTTCCATCAGGAGCTGGGAATTCTTATGTATCAAGGCATGAATTCCCAGTAGTGTTCTCAAGGGCAGTGCTACTGCAGGAGGAGAGTCTGCATTCCTTCAGCTGGCAGCTAAATTTAAGTGATGCCATTGAGGGCTGCTGGTTCACGGCAACATGCACTTAAGTGATTTATAACTCAGAGTGAGGATAATGGGTGACTACAGAATGGTGCCAGATAAACTGAAGGTGTGTTCTGAACTGAAGACATGATAAAATGAGGAGCTTGGGCATATGGAAACACATGATCATCCCTCCAGAACAGCAGTGTGTGCGTATATATATGTGTGTATATGTACACAGAGATAGACAGATAAAGATAAATGTGAGCATATATATATATATACATATATAAGTATATCCTGATAATTACCTTGGAAGATAAGCCCATGATGCATAGATTGACCTATGTGATTATTTTTCTTTATCAGGCCAGGCAAAGGATTTAAAGTTTTAAAACTACATATTCCTTCCAACTCCATTTGGCACTACTTTTCAAAAACAAGTTCAAATTGCAATTACTTTCTACTCTTCTTCTTCTTTAGTATTACAAAAATGTTCCTAAACGTTTTTCAGATGCATTTCAAAGATCTAGAAGAACATGACAATGCCTGAAGGAAAGATAACAAACTGCTGATATGATGATTGGTTAATTAGGTGGACAAGTATCATTAACACATTTAGCTTGATAACTGAAAAATATATGTACATAAACTCTTAGCTAATGAAGAAAAAGTGTAGATAAAAATTTCCTTTCTGAACAAGATCTGGAAAAAATTAGGTTTTAAATCTTTTTATTTTTAATCAACAACTACTTGATTTACAGTTATTTGTGCAAGTTGGAGCAATTCAGATGTCTTTTTACAGCTTTCTTGCTTCGATTAGAAAGTTTTTCTGTGGATAGTTTCAAAAGCTCCAGAAGCAACTAACCACCCATATGTTAATAGCTTGCAGTGGTTATTAGCCAACCTTCATTTTAATACTTCCTCATGCCCAGAGTGAAAAAAAAAGCTAAAATGTGTCTTCTCACTCTGTTTTACTTTAACTTGATGATCTTGGTGACAAATACATTTTCCCCAACACAAATTGGTTTTGAATGGAAAATAACCAGGAAGTGTAGGGGGGTTTAATGTGTTTCTTGTATAAATCCACAATGAGCCAGGTTACATGTTGCAGCAAGCAGGCTTAGAGCACAATTTCTGAGGACCATGGCATGTACAATCTCTGTAACAGGGATCAGCAATGAGCTGTGTTCTGCTTCCCGGCACTGCTGCTGTTTGGGGGCTGGGAACATCCCACAGCCTCAACAGCACCACCCTCCCCATCAGGGGCATGACAAGGACAGAATCACAGCATGCCTACCTAGACAACATCAACAGGCAGAATCTGCCTGCTACAGGTCAGTCTTGCACCTGCTTCTCTGGGTTTGTAGTTACATCACCCACCTCTGGTGCTGAACGGGGCAACAGCCTGGCAGAGACCTGTCTCTGCTAAAGTTGCTTTTAGCTGGGATGTCTCCACAAATGTTTCCTATCTTTACATTTCAAACTGATTTTCAAATCTGCTGAGCAGCAAATGTGGAGAACAGAGCAGAAATCTGCTGAGCAGATTTTCAAATCTGCTGAGCAGAAACGAAAAGTGGATGTCTCACAGGTCTTTAGGTACCACTAGTGTACATACTTAGAGCTGACAGAAAGAGAATAAAGAAGAGAAATTTGTAGGATTGGAGCCTACATTCAAAGTTCAGTTCAACATGCTTCAAAATGTAAATTTCTGGTAAAACAAACACCACTAGCAACAGGTCAGTAAAAGCAAGCACCATCTAGTTCCTGAATGCCACTCTGAGTGTTACAATAATAAAAGAATATATTACAAAAAGAAAATTGATTGCCTGCAGGCAGCAATAATCCTGGAGAGGCTAGAACAGAATGGTTCAGGAGGGAATTAACATTTTTTGTGGAATTAACTCTTACAATCTTATTAAATGTCCAGGTCTGTTCTGCAACCGAACATGGGATGGCTGGTTGTGCTGGGATGACACACCTGCTGGAAGGCTCACTGCTCAGAATTGTCCAGATTATTTTCCAGACTTCGATCCAACTGGTACAGTATTTCTTTTTACCATTTTATCTATCTCTAAAGGATGTCTTCAGAACATTTGTGCCATTGAGTGGATGTGCTCAATCCAGTAGCATTTTTGCAGATCTGTGAAATCTCAGAAAGTTTGGTTGAAATTAAAACACATCAAGTTTTTGGTTTCTGTAATTAACATATTTTAATTTTTAAAATATGTTATATGTGTTTATATTTATGTAAATATAACCAATGAATTTATAGAACCTGGTTTATGAAAATGTCAGCTTCTGAATTACAACATCAAGATATTCTTAGCACCTCATTCTAAGTTTTTTATAATGAAGAGAAGATGCTTATGTGCTTGAAATATGTATCAGTATGTTCTTTGTTCAGTTTTTATTGGAAAATATAATTTTATGAGAGAAGATGAGCAGAAAAAATTGTTCTTTCATTCTCTGAGTTTCAGTCCTTAGCTGAATTATTCATGCAAATACTAGAAGTAGACTGAGAGAAGTAAATGAAGAACGTTTAAAAGGAAAAATGAAAAATCAATGCAAGTATTTCCAAATAGATATGGGGAAATATTAGACACAAGTTTAACTCTGCAAAGAGTACTGTTTGAAGAGAGACACAATTGTGTGTTCCTTGCTCAGAACACATTGCTTCTAGGTGGTGCTTGATGGCACAGTGTGCTAAGTTCAACATAGTCACAATGCACCAATTGCAGTTAAAATCTAAGAAATTAAACATTTGGGAGAGAAGGTGCATAAATCTGAAAATTTTCAGCAAGCTTAACCCAAAATGCATGTGCCCAACTGGAAATAAAGGAAGCAAACTATTGCTTAGCTGTGAGTTGATTATCCAACACCATTAGCTAAAATTATTGATTTTCTTGAGCTTATTGCTTATTTAGAAACTGAGGAGTTTCCAGGTTGAATCAAACCCCTACACATTTTGCTGAATCCTATTTACAATACCAGCCAGATTGATTGTTATTTCTGTTCTTCATAAATCAAGCTGTCCATAATTAAAGAATTCAGCAAGTTGCAAATTTCCAACATCAGACCTAGTCTGACCCCCATTCAATCTCTAGTGAAGGAACATTCCTCTTTCTAGTGGAAGTAGGCATTGGACAGGATGGATTGAAGGAAATCTGTTTGCTCAGGAATCCTGTGCTTGGAAAGTGAGCCCATGTGGCAAGGTCACTATTCTCTTCCTGTGGAAACACCCTGAGACCAACCCAACATATCTTTACAGCAAGGTAGATCCCTGAGACAGACAATGGGCGCCAAATCATAAGGTCTTGTCTTTTGTGCCCTTTCTTCACAAGACTTGATCTCTTTTCTGTACAGTGTCATAGTTTTCAAGAAGGAGTCTTGGAGCAGGGTCATGCTCATGGCTCTTCATTGAAGCGCCTGGGGACAACAGACTGAGAAGCTGAGACCCCCAACTGCAGGGCTGCCTTTCATTCAGGTCTCCATCTCTGTGGACCAGTAGACTATTTGCACAAAAGATTCCAAAAGAGCATTTTAGAAGAATTGGACAAACTTGGTTCAGTTCCCACACAGAAGTGCCTGCATTCAGGAAAGAACGTGAGACTCTGAGTCCTGGGGTTGCAAAAGATTTTTCCTGCATGCATATTAAAAGTGCCTCTGAGATGTGGTCTGTACCTTCTGCTTCAGACCCCATTTTACTCATGATATCCTTCCCACACAGCAGCAGCCCTCCTTATGACTAGAAAGATTTACTACAAGTCTTTTCCTTTCCTGCTTCCATGGTTTTCAACTAAGAAAAAAATATATGGCACTAACAGTCTTAATTTATGTATACTCCGTGCAATGCTCAGCTTGTACCTGCAAAGGTGGGTGATGGGCAGCGTTGTGATCACAGAAATGACTGAAGGTCCTCATCCTTCATACATGGGGGTGATTTCGGAGCCACTCTCCTACTTGCTCCCCAGCCAACTATTCTCAGCTTTTCCTCTTGTCTGTCTCCAGTGACTTGTTCTGAACTAATTGCTCTGCTACAGCAGCACTCTTTAAAGAAACACTCGAAGCCATCCATGGAGAAGCATCTCACTCCACTTACTAATGTTCATTAACACCAAGGCCTGTGGCTTGTACACTGATTGCAAATCACTCCTTAATGTACAAACACTTGTCATGAAGTCTGGCCCACAGTGCCATACTGCAGTTACTCTTTCTGGCAAGACCTAAAATTTGAAATTTGGGAATTTTTTTAGTATTCCTGTTCTCTGTACACAGCTGTAGGAAGAAAAGCCTCCTCCAGTAATTAATTTCCTACTGTTGTCTCTGCTGTCCTCTTTAGCAACAATACCTGTGGTCTTCTGGACCCAGTATTTTCCTTCGGCACATTTCTCTTCTCGCCAGCACCTGTGTCAACCTCTTTGCTTGCATCCTGTTTCCCAGTCTTGGCAGCAGCTCAGCATCTCTTGGCTGAGCCAGAGCTGCTTTCCTAGAATAGCTGTTGAGTAACCCAGCATGTGTTACAGATGTGGCATCAAGCCAGTGGGTAGTCAGCCTTGCTTTACAGGTGGCTGGTTGTCACATAGAGACTTAATAAAGTGGGAGGGAGACAAGAAGTAAGGAGGGTGTCTACAAGTCTGTCAGCTGCTAATGAAAGTGGCTGCCACTACCAGGTGGCCAAAAGCACAGACTGAACTGTCCTGAGAAGTCTATCAGGTTTTGTATCACAAGTCATTATTTCCTTTGGTACCTTATTCATATTAAACAAAATACATTCAGCTTTTCTGCTGAGAAACAGAAACTTCGTCCTAAAAAATAGAAATTTTCCATGATGAAAACTGTAGTGACTGTCAGATTTCCTCCCCACTGAGTCTCTGATATCCAAAGGCCTCAGTATTTTAGGCATGGAAGTAACCCCATGAATTTCTGAAACAAGCATTTCATGCTGCATTGTTTGGGCTGCACCATGATCTGCAAAACCACTGTGTACTAGCTAATTGATGGCTATGTCATTTCACTAAGATGCCATGCATAGCTTTGAAACCTGAAATAAAATAATGTCTTTCCTTTGTATTTTTTGCTTTGACACTTACATCATTCATAATTGGAAAAGTGGAACATTATTGTCAGCATAGGATCGCATCCTCCTCCCATCCATATCTGTGGGTGCCAAACACCAGCCCTCTGTATCTGATCCCCAACAACATTCAGCACCGATGCCAAGAAGAAATTGATGGAGTATGTCAGAAAGTAAAAAAGGTGAAATTGTATTCTGAAGAAAAGAACACAGAAACAAAGTGAAGGAGAACATGCTCAGTGCTCAGTTCATTTTCTGTCTGACAACTTCACAGTTAGCTACAAAGTGTAGTCCCACCTATTTCACTGAACTTAGATCAGTTCTTACTAGACAGGAATCTGTGTTCTGAAAGAAGCAATCTCTTTCTCGCAGTGCACATCATGCACAATGTGATAATGCATAAAAACAAATCAATTTGTCTGGAAAACATAACAAGACCTACTGCTTTAATGCCAGTGACAGCAGGAAATTCATTGTCTCATCCTTTTCTGAATGTGAAGCTCTGAGCAGGGCTATTTTATATGTTCCTATTCAGGCAACATGCAATTCTCTCAAATTGTATTTTATATTCATATTTTAGACAGGTTAATCTTTGGTATAATCCCTCTCAAATGGTTCCAGATCACACTGAAATTGGTACAAGTTTAGTTTTTGAGGAATTCAGTATGAAATTCATGCTGGCAATATTCTAATAAAAAAAAGAAAAAAAAAAAGATTAAAAAAAAAGAAAGTACATTGTGGATATAATGGCCTTTGGCAAGGCAGGTTTGCCAAGGGCAACAGGAGGAGCTGAGCCTTGCCCTGTGCCACCTGTGGGCTGTTGGGTTTGTGGCAGGGGAGACTTACATTGCCCACTTCACTGTCCCTGTGCAGTGCATTTTGTCAGGATTATTTTGGTGCAGTCATATAGTAAGAGAGACAAATGTGGAAGTTTTTTTGTGGCTGACACCCCTTCTCATCTCAGTTTCACTCTTTACTTTTTGGCAGAAAGCAGTGTTTAAGAGCAGCATCCACCCCACTTTGTGAACCAAAGGTGCATTTAGCAAAACTCCCCTCAGTTCTCTGGTTTTTTTGGGTTTCTGTCTTTGGTTCCCTTTTGAAAAGTATTGCTCATAACTCTTCATGTAGCTCCAGGAGAAGAGCTTCTAGAAGTGCAATTTGGAAGCAAATCCATATGCATCCATAAGTAATTAGATGCTTATTAATCAGATTATGATTAATGTTTTGCTTCTTACAATTGAAGAACATGCCTTTCCTTCCTGCTGTGACTCTGTGAGAAGACTTCTCTTGCTGCCACAAAATCTAAATTTTGGCTGCCTTTAACTAAAATAGATAGTTCTGCATTTCTGCTGGTCCTGTTTTCTGGTCTTGAAGGATATACTTTAGATGATTATAAAAAGACAAATCTGAACTCTTTGTCCAGCTGCTTCTTTTCTCCTTACCCTTCTGTGTATTTCTGTCCTGCTCCTTAGCAAGTTTGACTGCTGTGTCTTACAAATCAATTCCTATCCCCACACTGTCCAATATCACTCTTATACAGATTCTAGTTCTGCTGTCTAAGACATTCTGAAGACAGTGATAATCCTTCATTTACTAGGACACTGGAATTTAAGTTTTCTAGGGTCTCCATTGCATTACATGAAATTATTTTTTAATTTTTGAAAAAGTTCCAGAACATTTTACCAAAGATGTGAGTAAATCAGATATGCAACACCAACTATTTCTTCATCTGCAAAAGTAAGCACTGCACAGGTCTATCCAAACAATAGCAAAGAATTCAGTGTCTGGTATGTGCTGAGCATGACTGCAACAGGGGAGAACTTCTTTCTCCTTCCATCTTACAAGTGAGCAATAAATAAAAAACTGATGTTGGCTCCTTTAACATGTGCTAGCTATAGCTCTGGTCTAATTGTGAAAAGCCTGATTGATAGTGCTATCATGTTGTTCCAGAGATATTAAGATATTTGTTACATATAGATGACTGAGGGTTTTTTAATCAGCATATGATTCATAAAAGCACTATTAGTGGCACAAAAAATACCCATGCAAATAATTGCTACTGGTTAATCTTTCAAGACACTTCACTGCTCCCAAAAAACTTCCTTTGTGGATAAGATTGCTTGCATCCATTTTTCCCAGACAGTTCTTGAAGTGTCTGTCTCTCTCAGTTAACTGCAAAGATTCTGCACAGCTGCCTATGAATTATGTAACTTCAAGGTTTCTACAATCAGGTGAGATCAGTACAATGTGATGTCGCTGTTCTTCCACTTTGAATAATGCAATGACTAAGTGGTGTCCCATCCTAGCTGATAGGGTGCAGACAGAGCCAAAAAAATTAGTGTTTTCACAGTATTTTAATAATCTCAAAGCCAAAGCCCATGCTTTCATTTTGCCTTGCTAGTGTTGTCTTACCCATCCTTGCACATGTGTATTTTTTCAGACTTTATCATATCTTCTGGTTAGCACAAAGAACCAACACATACCCGGGTTCAATATCCCCCACCTGCTACTGGGCCACTCTAGAATAACTTGCAGTGTAACAGTGGTTGGATTGCAGCTTTGTTTCCATATAAAAGAATAGATTTAGAAGAGATGTTTGACCTGTTTCAGTCACTAGGATGGACAGTAAAGAGCTCTTATTCCCCAGCAGTGTATTCTCAAGTCACAGCGAGAAATCCATGACACATTGGCACTTTCAGAGTAGGATCAGTTTTTAGTAGGATCAGGTTTGTCTGGCTTTAAGGAAAAGTATGAGGTGAAAGGTTTGTCTCTAACTTACAGAGGCCACATTATACTCTGGCAGAGTGCCTACCCAGGCACTGAAGTACAGAGATGATGGATGACATTGCCGTACGTTCTCTGTAGCAGATTAACAAAAGCCGTGCACTTCGCAGAGTGCACGGGATAACCAGTGCAACGCTTGCACACCGTGTTCCATGGTAGCACAACCATTAATCTTTCATCTGTGACTGAAAACTTTTTCCAGCTTTTGATAGCATCTGGCAAGGAGTAAAAGGGAACATTGCTACATGGGCAGTCTGAGATTATCTCCAAGCTATGGAAGGCTAAAATAACATGTACTGTTCCTCTTAGTATTGTCGATACACGTATTGATGCTTAACATGTCCCCCAAAAAAATTATTTGAAATCCACAATAATTTCAAAAATTATTGTTGCTGTGTTCTGAAGGATTTTTTTTTTTTTTCTGCCAGGGCACTATATAAAGTGTATTTATGGTCAGAGTAAAAAACTCCATCTATAGTATCTTTACCTTACCCATAGGATCAGTTCCTTTCTTTAGGCTTTAGGAGTATGAATCTTACAAATTAATAGAACCATTAATCATTAGATGAAGAAAAGTAAGTGGGTATGTTAACCACAAAAAATGAAAATATGTTATGTTCAAATGCCTATAGGTTCTGTAAAAGTGTATTGACTGGAAATGCTGATAATCTAAGTTTATTTACCAAATAAACCTCTACCAAATTATAGAGGTAGAAAAAGCAAAGATAGACTTTTTAGACTATTTTAAAAATCAGAATTAAAAAACATGTTTTTCATAAGTCTCTGTGTTACTATCTAAGAAAACATAAAATAATTGTTTATTATTTTAAAAGTTTATGATCTTATCCTGTCTTTGTTACTTGGGCAAACATTCCAGTGACTCCCATGTGACTAATGAAAGGCCAAAGGAACTGGCCAAAACTTGACACGTGATTAGGAGTGACCATCTGCACCTCAGCATCCAGGGTGTCCCCAGCAGGAGTGAGAGCCTGACGGAGGGACGCAGACACAGCACAAACCTGCAGCTCCAGGCATGCCACCGAGCTGTGTGCTGCTGAAGCCCCACTGTCCCCCTCCACAGCAAGAGGACGTGCAGAGGAGCACGAGCCTGGAGCACCATCCGTATGGCAGGGCTGTCAGGAAGGATGCCAGAGACACCTGTGGTGCAGGAGCCAGCACCAGAGACACCTGTGTAGAGGCCAAAAACACATCAGATTATTGAAACAGAGGGCTCTGCAGCCATCTTAAATCAAACTGGACACATGGGACCAGTGCCAAAACGTTTGTGAGGCTGCTTGCCTCTGTGCCTGCATGCTGTGCAGACCCTGAGGAGAGCAAGCAATGCTCCCACTCTGCATGTCAGGATTCCACTGGTGGGGAAGCTGGGAGAGACTTTTCCACATCTCCAGCACCCAGGCTCTGGTTTATACATTACTGCCCTTTATCTGCGCAATATTTTTAACTCATTTAACCCTGATACTTGAAACCCTGTGCACTTCCTTCAGGTCTGGCATCAACACCTGTGGTTATTTTCTCTTCCATAAGCTGCTGTCAACAGTGTCTTTAAATGGATTATTATCAGCTAGATATTGTGTCTGAATGAAGACTGAGATATATACTCAAGGAGTGAAACAAGTTTACCACCAGATAAGTCTCAGAAAAAAAACAAAACAGCAAAACAGCAAGAGGTATATTAATTACACAGGTTGAAAATAATTTGGATGTTATTACACACACATTTTATTCCCAAAGAAATTATTTCAGATGGGTTTTTTAAGTCATAATATGCAAATATTAAAATAACTATTATTGTAATTTATCATCAGAGAGGGCCTCAAAATATTGTGATGAAACTGGAAATTGGTTCCGCCATCCTGAGAGCAACCGAACTTGGTCCAACTATACCCTGTGCAACTCTTTCACCTCTGAAAAATTGAAGGTATGCTGAACTTAAAGAGGCAATGGTTGTTTGGCAATGTTTTGGGGTGGGCTAGCAATAATACATGTGAGAAAGAGCAGAATAGTCCTATCTTTCAGCTTGATTTTTTGCACAAGACTTAAATAACATTGTTCTTGTGATTTCAGCTTATCTAAATTCTTTAACAAGTGCTCAAACATCAACATTGGTTTGCTGTGGGGTGGATAATTTAGTGGTAGTTCAAGTGACAAGTTTTGCAGTATTTTTCAGAGGCATTTTTAATTCCTATGATTTTCTCTGATTGACCAAGAGTTATGAAATAATCATTTAGAGTCTCAATTTTGCTTTCTGTAACAATAATATTCCAAGATGTTGATGTCTTCTCTGCAGGGCTAATAATATTAATGTAAGTCAAAATTATTTTTCTTAAGCAAACAGTATTACCCGGTACTCACACTCCTTGAAAAAATATTTATGAAGGTACCATTAATCCAGAAAATCTTACAAGCATGAACACATTTAACTTTGACTTTTACTGAAGTAATTGAGAGTATTACAATAATGAATTAAGTAACTGCATCAATATTTCTAAAATCCAGGTGCTAAATTGAAAGAGAAGAACTAAATACAAAAACACCAAAAGAAATAAGGAGAGACATATCTGAGAAAAGCTTTAAAAAATTAAGTTAGGGAAGCTCATAAAAATAAATGTATTTCTCAAATGCAAGTGGAGGTCCAGGAAAATCTGATTACAGATTTGTGACAGAATAATTTGTGACTATATGGAACAGTGGAAGGAAAAGATTCAAAAAGTGATTTGATTTGGGATTTGTGTTGGAGGACCTCTTCTTATATAGCCAAAAAGCAGCATGCAGGTAACTCAGCCCAAAGGGCCTTGGACAAGTGTGTTGGACTAGGCAGGAGGTGAATTTTAAGGGTTTTGGCAGCATGACAAACCATCATGGTAAAATGAGGCTCATCTATGTGACAAGACAAGAATAATAGTAACAATAAGAGCTTACAGAGGCATTATGTGGAAACACCATAAATATATAATTTTTCCAGATGTTGGCACATGTAAGGAGGCAAAAAATGTGGTTCTGTTACCTATTACCCATGCCTTCCAGAAAAAGAATTTTGAACATCATTCATGCAGAGAACAGATAGAATAGAAAGGAAAATTGTATGCACATTGTGATTTTTTGAAATGAACATTTTGGAAAATGCACAAAGAATATAATCTTAGAGAAATGCCAAGTTAGATTATGACATTTAAACCAAGTCTTCAGTAAACAGAAATGTGCTTCATTTGTAGACTATTTCCACTTACTTACACATATATACTCACTTTATTGAGTCAAAGGTATTACTTTTAGAGAATTCTCTTCCCTCAAGTGAAGAAATCTAGAGGAAAAAGGAAGAGCATATAAGTTTTCTAAATCCAGGTTAAAAAATCTGAACAAACAAAAATTGTAATGAGTTACCATGTTATATAAGTCTTATGTGTCAAGCAAAGCAGAAATTAGTAAAAGTGCTCATTATTTGTTTGAAGTTCACTGAAAATATCAATATGCTATACTTTGGAGGCAGATCACTGGAAAACTATTATAGACAGTTCTTTCAAATGTAATGATATATGTATGCTTTGTTAGCTGACATTTCAGTCCATTTTGATCTGTCATCACTGTTATATTTTAAGGCTTTTTTAAGCATTTGCCATAGTAAATTTGTAGGATGCAATAAAAAAACAGTTGCTGAGTCCAAAATATACAGTTACTTTAGCACTTGAGAACCGAAAGATAGATAGATAGACAGATAGATAGATAGATAGATAGATAGATAGATAGATAGATAGAATAACCAAGAATCCTCCAGGGTGTACATAAACTTGCATGTAACTATCCTGAGATCTTTCCTACTTGTAGATATTTCAGGCTATATGTTGTATAAAAGATAGGTAGAAAAAAAATGTATTTTTGAATAGGTCATCTGTAAATTAAGTCATAAAAAAACACAGCAATCGTGCAGTATGAAGTGGAACAAATGTCACATGTACACAGGGAAGCCTCTCCCACTACTCTGTATTGGAGAAAGTTGTGTCATCTTCTCCACACTCAGGCCTGTCCTGTCTGGGATTGCTGGTGCTCTCAGAACAGGTCATTAAGCATTTGTGCTCACTAACAATGCAGTGGTTAGTCTTTGTGAAGGAGAACTAGGAGACCTAGGTATTGTCAGTAAATATGAACAGTTTTCCATAGCTTGGTGAAGGGTATTTATACTCAGATCATGTCTCTTCTGCGTGGTCAGATCAGTGTAAATGTGACTCTGGTTTAAATCTGAATCAGGCCACCACCACCTAGGTTAATGAATGCAGAAGCTTATTTGAAAGTTACAAAATGTCTCGAGACCAAATTACGTAAGATGTGCACCTTTACTAAGATGCTTTCTGAATTGTTTTCATATTTGTTTTTGAGGGAAAGTTTAAAATTACTTGGAAGCACCAAAAAGAAGTGAGTGTCAAAACTTCAAGCTACAAAAAGCAATTCATCTAATCACTGAGAAGAGGAAAATTACTCATGCATAGCAAAATAAAAATGAATGAAATAGAGCTGAAAAAAGAATAAACCCAGCAGAGGAATTAAGACGTCCAGTCTTTTTTTTTTTTTTCCCAGACAGGTTGCTGCTATGTCCTTGCTTTTAGAAAGGAGGCAGTGGTGGATAATAAACCCAGCAGAGGAATTAAGACTTCCAGTCTTTTTTTTTCCCAGACAGGTTGCTGCTATGTCCTTGCTTTTAGAAAGGAGGCAGTGGTGAAGCCTGGCATGGCATTTAGCCTCCTTCACTAACTCCTCTGACAGATGGCTTAAGAGCTTGGCTGAGACAAAAGTGTGACCTGTAAATACCTTAACATTCTGATGCCCAGGTGCTGTCCTGCAATTTATTTTACAACTGGCATAAAAGATATGGATCAGCCTCCCTTAGAATTCCCTTAGATTTAGTGAAAGCCTAATTATCTGTCCATGGGTACTGGATTCACAGCACTGTCAGAGCACTGAGTTGCCCAGCACCAAGGTAATGTGCATGAGAATTTTTCTCAGAATGTGCTGTTCTTGTGTGGTGTGCATTGAAGATAATGGTCATATCAGCTGCTGCTTTCATGACTCTGAAGGCCTTGGTCATAAGCTCCCTCTGACTTCTCTCCAAAAAGGAGAATCCCAGCCTTTGTACCCACAGAAACTCAACCTCAGCTATTTTAGGTGCCTTTTTTCACCTTTCCTTGCTCTTCTGTCTTCATGGGATATGGAGACTAGAAGCACACATGCACTTAAGGTTAGTGCTGTACATTTCAAGCACAGGTTTTTGTTCTACCCTCAGTGTCTTTTTTTGTCATAATGATTATTTTGCTGGCTGTTTGGCTAACATTGCACAGTAAATCAATGATTCTGAGAATTGGCTTGGATGACTCCAAGATCTCTTTCCTGAGTTTGGTCTCCAGTCCTAAGTTTAGCATTGTGTAGACAGCATTTAGACCACTTGTCCTCGGTCTATCAGCCCACGTTTTTCCTGTGTTAAAGCTCATATGACATCTTCTTGTTCCTTCAGTTAAATGAGGCCCTTTGTGAGTGCATCACTATTATCTGGAAGTATAACCTGAAAATTTAGAAGTTTTTCTGGATCAGCTCATTGATGAATACATTGAACAAAACCACAGCCCTAATACAAGTCGTGAGGGCAGTTAAATACTGACTCATATCCAAAAGTGACCATTAAACTTCTGATTGCTGTTGTTTAAGCTGCTTTGAACACATAAAAGTTTTCTACCAATCCTGCAGCAACCTCTTTTTTTTTCCTTTTTTTTGGCCTATGTGTGAAAACTTGTCATGGGCACATTAAAAATCTAAATGCATTACGTCTGCTGCACTATCCTAGAGCTTGGGAAAGTTAATGGCACAGTGTGAGCAGAGATCTCACAATCATATCAGGAACAGATATGCATGTGTAAGAAACACTCATCTTTAGATCATGAGTCATGCTATTTAATAGATTGCTGATATTAAATAGGAAAAGAATGTTGGAAAGAAAAAAAATACAAAATAGGAGGTTGATTTTGTAGATTCTTCCTTAATGAGAAAACAAATGAAGTGCCTGCAAATTGTTCATGCTTGGTTTTTCTTTTTGTTAAATTGCAGATGGCGTTCATACTTTATTATATGGCGATCGTTGGCCACGCCTTGTCTATAACATCCCTGTTGATTTCCTTGGCAATTTTCTTCTATTTCAAGTAAGTGTTTCTTACAGACACTCTTCTTCCCTGAGGCACCTCAACCAAAGGAAATCTTGGAAGTTGTCATGGCAGTGAGAAGCAGCTCTTCTGAGGGTCTTTTTATATAATCCTGATAAAGAAATCTGAGCACAGTTTCCTCTCACCAATGGGACCTCTCCCAGTGGAGTGTAGCCGAGACAAAGTTGTTGTGTTTGTCAGGACTGGTGTGAAAAGTGCAGCCCATGGGGAAATGGTGCAGCTGGGGATGCAGTTAGGCCTTTCATTTACCTATTGATATATGTTCCTTAAGAGCATGTCCAGGGCTTGCCAGGAGTCGTGACTGGGGCATGGGGCAATGAGTAGGAGCTCCAAGCTCCTGAAGCACAGGACTACCTGCATCTGAGGCTGAAGGACTGAGCTATTGACCTGAGTAGGTTCTTACAGGACTCAGCCCTAAGAGCCATCTGGCACTAGTGTGCAGCCTGTTATCCTCATTAAAAGAAAAACAGAATGCTGCTGTATCAGAATTTTAAAGGAGACTGATATTCACTGAAAACACTACAGCTACTGTATGGCTGTACAGCTTCACTAGAGCATTTCAATCTTGTTCTTTTTTGCACCTGTCTACTGTCAATTAGATGCCTCTGCCTCAACTGCCAAACAGGAAGAGCAGAAAAAGATCAAGTCCACAACATCCCCACCACCAAGAATAAGACTAGGAAACACAGGAAAACTAAATGGGTGGACTTTTCATAGTTTATAAGATTCTGTAAGATTGCAAACTCCAAAGAGGTGGATCCAAATACAGGCTGTGAATTCTGGTAATTTCCAAAGAGGCAATTTGATGAGTGCCTGTGATAAAACGTCTTAATCAGCTACAGAGATAGCTAGAAACTCTGCCAAATGAACTGATGAATTCCCTTCCCATCTAAGCAGATAAATAGCACAAAACCATAGCCACTGTAATGCTTTGAGAAAACTGGAAAGAGCACAGTTTTATCTGATTTGGAACCCCATTCCCTGGTTTGAGTTCTTTGGGACAGTAAGGACAGGATCTGGTCAAATTAGGTATGCTAAATGGACAAGCAAGATGATTCCTTGCAGCAAGCAAGGCAGGGTCAGCCTGTCTGACTCACTCTGAGCTCTGAGTCATGAACCACGCATGATCTTGACTGGTCCCAGGCTGCACTGAAAGACTGGTCTTTGCAGCAGCCTTCCAGACAGTAAAACACCTCCTCCTCTCTTCCCTCCTCCGCTTCTCCTTCCCCTGCCATGACTAAGCCATGACACAAAGGTTACAGAGAGAGAGAGAAAGGAATTAAACCAAAGTGCTTCATAATGGGAAGTCAAAGAGAAAACTAAACTACAGTCATAGGAAAGAGAATGAAGTTATGTGGGAGCGGGGCTCATGTAACCTTCAACTGTTTTCTATCATCTGGCTATGACAGCAATAAATTATTTGACCTTCAGCTGAAGGGAAGCTGTCAATCAGACAGTCCATCAGATAGCAAGAGATTATTTCAGGACTGCATAATATCCTTTGACTTTAGAGGCAGCTTTCAGGGATTGCAGTTTCCCACATATAAGTTTTCACTGGCAGAGATTTATTTTCAGTTCGCTTTTGGGTATCAAGATTCGTAATGATCTGGAATCACAGATGTTGCAGTACTTTCAGAAGGGAATAATGAATCAGTATTGATGAGCATCACTAAGTAATGCTAACACATAACAGGAGAGAGTATTAATAAAGTAGAATGTCTAACTGCTTCATGCATCGTCACTTTATTGCAAGATTTCTACAATCACAGAGTGAGACCCCATTATCTTAGTTAATAAAACACAAAGAGGTACCCCTACCTCCAAATCACTACCAAACAAATTATTAAAGACATTTGTATAAAGACAGATGGGGAGTAAAACAAATCTATATTTGCCAGAATAATAGATGGTGTGTTATGAATGCACCTGCAGTCTAATTGCTGCCAAGGCTTTTAAAAGGAGTTGAAGGGTAATGGATGGAAGAACATTCTGTGAAATTTTTGGGGAGTTTTCCCTAGGTGCAAGGGAGGACATGGTATAAAGCATGAAAATAATTTGATAACTAAACAATGGGGGAGGAGAGCAAAATAAGTGTAGAGGCATGAAAATCAATATTCTCAGTATTTATACATGAGAAAAATGACAGATTCACAGAGCAGTTCTATGAGGAAAACATTCTAATTGTAAGAGGGAAGTAGAGATAGGAACAGTAAAACAAGGGTGACTGTGAGTAGGTAAGAGAACCTGTCTGAAAAAGGGAATGTAGGAGACAGAATCAATGTGAAACACAGGGGGCACACAGAAAACATAGGAGACTCTGACATTCTAAAGAGACAATGGATAGAGGCTTGGAGACACAAAAGCTCACTGGCTTAGTTATGCCTTTTTGCATACTGATTTATTAGAATCACACAGAATCACAGAATAAATTGAGTTGGAAGGGGCCCTCAGGGATCATCAAGTCCAGCTCCTGGCCCTGTACAGCACCATCCCCACGAGTCACACCATGCACCCAAGAGTGAAGCAGAGTAGGGAAAATACAGAAAGATGGTGGGGACAATGCCAAGGAGCCTCCAAAAACATCACAAAGGAATGACCAATAACACAGAAAGGGCCAGGAAGAGAGCTAAAAGAGGTCAGAGAAGGAGAAGATTATAAAGGATTATCAAAACCAGCAGAAAGAATAAATCAAGTAAAGGTTTGGTTCGACTTTCTCCTCTTGGTGTGGACCATGTCAGGCAGGTGTTAATGCCATTGTGATGGTAAACACTGAAGGTCAAATTAGAGAGAGTATGGAAATAAACGCTAATGCTACAGGTGGATCTTTAACATGAGAGCTGTAATCAAGGAAAAAGGGGAATACTGAGGGAAAAGGAGGAGAAAACAAAGAGAGGAAGGCAGGCAGGGAAAGGAGGCTGAACAGCACACAAAGACACACGTGCTGAAGGGCAGTCTGATTGAATAGGTGAATAAAACTGCCAAAAGTCAAGTAGAGCAGTGAGGAAGGACAGGAATGGGAGTTAAGACACACCTACCTGGCTGAGATTATTACAAAAGACTCCCTGTATCAGAAAACACAGAGAAAGGCACCTCGAGAGACAAGGGTCTGCATTTCTGTGGCCAGGAGCTGAAGAGATTGTTTCCAGTAATAAGGAATTTTTTATTTTTTGGGAACAGCACTGATGTCACACCAATCTTGTTCCCAGGGTTGCAAAAGAAAGGCTGTTATAAGCATGTCATAGTGTCCCCAGAAAAGTGGGGTTAAGAGGCATAGTGAAAGTCTTGTGATGGAGTAGGGGGAGAAAGGAAGACTCAGGACTGAACAAATATCACCAAGGGCTTAGGAGCAGAAAAGGAACGTCAGGCTAGATTTGTGATGGGGACAAATAGGTGGAGTAAGTACAAGAACAGCTCCAAAGAATGGTCTATTTTTTCCAAAACCATGTCCTGCAGTGACTCAAACTGAAAGTTCATGAACCCAGCCCTGTATCTGGCACTCAGTATTTACCAATAGCTGATGCTAAAGGAGGGCTATAAAATCATGGCCAAGTGTACAGATATACTCTCATTCTTAGCCACCAGGATCTGCATCTCATAGACATCCTAAACCAAAGATGGTGACTTGATAAATAAGGAGGTCTAAAGAAGCGATAAGCATTGCGGGATGCTGATAACCATAACCAGAAAGATGAGCTCAAGCTAAAGGAAGAACTCCATGCAATGGCTTGGAAAGTAGGTGTAAGGAAAACAAAGACTAAATGGCAGGTGACCAAGGGGATAAAGAAGGGAAATAAATCAAGCAAGCAAGCAAAATAAGCAGAAAAGGGTTCATCTGGCTAGATTAGCTCTCTTTTTGAAGAGAGTGCACTCTGCATTGGCCTCCACATGCAGAGGAGAAGAAAGCCACCGCCTGTGCTCCATTCAAGACTGCAAAAGACTCCTAGTGCTGAGCTTACCCCATCAAAACAGCAGTATTTCTTAGCTGTTCTTTACCTAGCAGTTTTGCCTCCTTACTCTCCGTGATCCCTGTACAGCACAGCATTATCTAACAGCTCCATGACTGCCTTTCTGCAATCACCCTCTGCCAGCCTGGTGCTATGCTCTGGGGCATGGAGAGATGCAGGGCCCTTTGCCTCAGGGATGTATGAGGAGGCGACATCAGGATTTGGATCTGAATTAGAAATGGGAGATTGTTCAGGTCTGAAACTGCAGTCATGATTTGGTTTCACAAGAATTCTGAAAATTTATCTTGTGTAGCTCTGCTACCCACAATAGCATCAATCCTACCTTCCCCAAAACCAGTGATTTCAAGAGATTTCTTCTCCTTCTGAGAAGGAAAACAACCTTCTCTGGTTTGGGATCTCACTGGAGTTAGAAATATGCTGGATACCAACCCAAATCCCCCTGTAATTTAAGGAGATTCCTGCCCAAATTCCCATCCTGTCTCACTACTAATTCCTGAAGTAGAAAATAATTTTCATCTGAGTATTTGAGAAATTGAGTCTCCAGGGAACAGTTAATTATAAAGCAGTATTCCTGATATTCATTCCTTGCATCATGCGCATCCAAAAATTCTCAGGGTTCTTCTTTACCACTTAATATCTCAATTACCATGAATTAAAGAAAGGCATCAAGAGCTAAGAATGTAGCTGGATAGGTTTTCACAACATGGTCTAAAAAGCGTGTGGTGCTAAACAGGTGTAAAAACAAACCCAAAAATTTTTCAGAGGTTATGGCCGCAATGCAAGGCATGTATTTTCCAAATATGCCTTGCCAAAAGACATTCTTGAGAGACTGTTGCCAGAAAGAGCTTGTTAAAGTGACATCAGAGGAAAAAAACTAATTTATGACATGTGTTACATATTTTTCAGGAGCCTCAGCTGTCAAAGGATAACACTGCATAAGAATTTGTTCTTTTCCTATGTGCTGAACTCCATGTTTACAATTGCCCACCTCATTGCTGTCGTCCCTAACCCAGGCCTTGTAAAAAGGGATCCTGTAAGTACTGCACGACTCCTCTCCATCCTAACACCCAAGTAAAATCACTATGGCCATGCCAAAACCTAGAATTCCCATTCCTCAGCTAATGATAGCCATCTGGAAAAACACACACAGAGGGTGCAGATTCTGAGAATTTCACTCAAACTTGCTCAGATCTTTCACCAAGCAATAAAAATCTTTGAGTCTTGTACAAGCCCCAGACTTGCTCCAGCCAGCTCATCCATGCAAGTATGTGCCAGACCTCCACTGCTCCCAGCAATAACAACCTCATGATTCCCAACAAAGCCCCTGAGGTGATAGGTGCCTTTGGTGACTGCTTGTCCTTCTTCACAAACCACACACTGGAGAGGGACAGGATGGAAAGAGGGATGGCTTATTTCAATACAACACAGAAAAAGGTCTATTTGCTGTATCTTTTAACTTCGGAGGCAGTAAATCAAAGCATTAGTTGCCTTCTCTTAGGTAACTAATGAGTTAGTTACTGCTCTTAGGTAGTGAAACAAATTGTGTCAGTCCCTCAGCTGATAAATATATATGGCAGACCTCAGTCATCCAGCTCTGATCTTGCTCCCTAACCCAGCCATTGCACTGTGCTCAGCCCCTACAGCAGCCCCAGCCAATGTGATATTAATGCAAATGTGGTAAGTTTCATTTTCACGCTCATCAGCTTGTAGTCTAACAAGATCATTCAATTACAATTCAACCATTTATGGCCTGCCACTAATTTCATTAAAGGAATTAAATATTAGCACCTGATATTATCTGATCACATGTGTGTCTCTCAAATGTGTGCTGATTAAGTAAGTTAATTAAAGCAGAACATATATAGCCTAAAGAAAACATCACCAGTCTCAGAAACCATCTGGAGATTAAAAAATAGAGTAGAAGAATAATTTAAAAATCACATATTTTGTTTCTCCTCATTTCATAGCATCATATGTAGATAGTCTGTGCAAGAGGTACAATGAAAATACACTTGATATTTGAAGATAAAAAGCTGGCAGATGATATCAGGCACCTAAATTGAAGCAAAATCATTACCTCAGGGTTAAGAATTATATTTTCTGACAGCACAAATAAATTATCTGAAACGGTTTAAACTAAGAGTTGAGGGAATGGATTCTGAGAATTTCACTCAAACTTGCTCAGATCTTTCACCAAGCAATAAAAATCTTTGAGTCTTGTACAAGCCCCATACTTGCTCCAGCCAGCTCATCCATGCAAGTATGTGCCAGACCTCCACTGCTCCCAGCAATAACAACCTCATGATTCCCAACAAAGCCCCTGAGGTGATAGGTGCCTTTGGTGACTGCTTGTCCTTCTTCACAAACCACACACTGGAGAGGGACAGGATGGAAAGAGGGATGGCTTATTTCAATACAACACAGAAAAAGGTCTATTTGCTGTATCTTTTAACTTCGGAGGCAGTAAATCAAAGCATTAGTTGCCTTCTCTTAGGTAACTAATGAGTTAGTTACTGCTCTTAGGTAGTGAAACAAATTGTGTCAGTCCCTCAGCTGATAAATATATATGGCAGACCTCAGTCATCCAGCTCTGATCTTGCTCCCTAACCCAGCCATTGCACTGTGCTCAGCCCCTACAGCAGCCCCAGCCAATGTGATAATGCAAACGTGGTAAGTTTCATTTTCACGCTCATCAGCTTGTAGTCTAACAAGATCATTCAATTACAATTCAACCATTTATGGCCTGCCACTAATTTCATTAAAGGAATTAAATATTAGCACCTGATATTATCTGATCACATGTGTGTCTCTCAAATGTGTGCTGATTAAGTAAGTTAATTAAAGCAGAACATATATAGCCTAAAGAAAACATCACCAGTCTCAGAAACCATCTGGAGATTAAAAAATAGAGTAGAAGAATAATTTAAAAATCACATATTTTGTTTCTCCTCATTTCATAGCATCATATGTAGATAGTCTGTGCAAGAGGTACAATGAAAATACACTTGATATTTGAAGATAAAAAGCTGGCAGATGATATCAGGCACCTAAATTGAAGCAAAATCATTACCTCAGGGTTAAGAATTATATTTTCTGACAGCACAAATAAATTATCTGAAACGGTTTAAACTAAGAGTTGAGGGAATGGGAAGGAGTCTTGTGTTTTAAGATTTCATTTTAAAACTATTGTCTAACAAAATTATTTGTCTAACAAAAGATACTATCTAGTATATTTTGGCCTGATCTTTACTGGAAGTGAAGTCTTGACACCAGTGAAGTCAATGGCAAAGCTCTCAGAGGCTCCCACAGAGCCACGTAGCCACAGAACGGGTTCCAGGGCACTGAGCATCACACAATGTTATCCCCAGCCTCCATTACTATGGCACAAACAATATAAAAGTGACCCAGTGGCTGTCTTTGGAGACCATGGAGTCCCAGAGTGGTGCAGAGGTTCATGTACCACACTCAGCTCTCAGGACTCTGCTCAGAATATGAACAGGAGCCTAAATGCTCAGTATAGTTATGGAAATGACCCAAACATTGTCCTGTTAACAAAATTGGCTGCAGTTATTGGCTAAGCAGATGCTTTGATGAGCAAAGCCATTGCTTTGCAATTTCTTCTTCCAAACCAAATTTGCATGTCTTTGACCCAGCAGTAAAAGGCTGTCTACAGCCAAGGTACAAAACTTGGGGCGAGAAGATGTGGGGCCTCTTATTTTTGTCCCACCACTGATTATGGGAGGACGGTATACTCAGTGCTTGATCTTGCCTCACAGTCTAGATTTCCCTCCCAAAAGAACAAAAAAAAGACTAAAAAGAAGTTGAGATGACCTGCTAATATGTTCAAAGTCTCCCAGACTTACTAGAAAATATATTCTGTTACCTTAGTAACATAATAAATTTTTAAGTTTGTGATTGAGAAAGAAGACTAACAGACAGGACCACATTTTTAACATATGATGAAATTACAGAAAATCTCTATATAGAGTATATGAAGACTTAGAGGATTTATGTTTAAAATGCTAAAAAAAAATTACAAAAAATTCCCATAATATTTTTATGCCTAATTATCAGAGCAAAAGATACCTATTATCAGAGCAAATGAAAGCTTTACATCTTGGGTGTTTTCTACTCCTACTGCACCCTCTGCTTTAATAAGTCCATTTGAAGATTACGGCTTCTGACTTCCTCTAGTTTGCTGCTCTTATCCACTTTCTACATGCACATCTTTGGAGCTTCACAGGCTCATGTATGTATGGCTCTCACCTTTTGTATATACAGAAATACTGAAATGTGTAGACTGAATTTCGAGCAGTCGTGGACCACTCAGATAACAGCCATATACTGAGATGAAGTTGCTGGTATTTATTCTGCAAAATAATAAATGTGTTTCCAACCCCAATAGTTCCTGCTTTTTTTTTTTCCTACCTAAAATTTCACAATAGTTTTTAAATGTGAAATGCCATGGGAAAATACTTTCAGTGATTCATAATTTATGAGGATATCATCAAATCCATATAATTTTGAAAGAAGAAAGAACAATCTCTTAAATAACAAGGAGAAGAGTCAGGAGGAGCAAGAGAGGAAATTCCTTCCTAAATCCAAGACAGCCCCATTCTCCCTGTGACCCAGGGAGAAATGACATGAGACAATCCAAAGCATCATTTACTTGAGGACAGTCTGTACCACATCCTTACTCACATTGCTGCTAAGAGTTAAATCCTTTGATGATCATTCTGCTCATGTAAAATGGTAAGTCAAGCCACTTTTACAATAATCTTAACTTGTTTATTTACTTCACGTTTTCTGGTTTTACAATTTTCTCTCTCTCTGTTTCTCTTTCTGTCAGATTTATCTGGATCTGAAACCATGGAAAAGAAGGATCTGAGTCCAGGTGGCCATACAAGAAATGAAGAAGCAATGGACAAGGTTCAAAGTCATTTTAACAAAAATAAACAGGACACGTGTATGAACACTTATTTACACATACTGAAAATTTTCACTGCTTTGTCTGAACTGGGAACTGCATTAATTATGCTGTTACTGGAACTACAGTCATAGGAAGAGATATGATTTATCACCTTCCCAAATGAGACTGACCCGCAGTAGAAGGGTGATCCATGGACAGCACATTATGTTCTCCATTAAAATCTCCAGAAATATAAATAAAACTCTTGTTGCCAAATCTCTCAATATAGCCTTATGCATTAGATCTGTATTTTTCATTTTCTGTATTCCACAGGAGTAATCATTTTAATACTCATACTGATGCAAGTAAAAGGAATCGACAGCTAATGCCTGAAGGGGCAGCTTTGCCAATGAGAAACTGAGCAATGCTCCATGGGCATCATATAAATATGCTTTTAGGTGGGGCTAAGTTTGGTCACAAATTATGTCTCAGTAATTAGAACCTCTTCCACAAAGGCAGAGATCTTACAGGTATTTTTTTTTTAGAGATCCTACTGTATTTTTTTTTCACATTCTAGTAGAAATATCTGTCCTCTTCTTTCTGCAGGTTCTTCTGTAGCCTCTTCACCTGCCATTGTATGGTGTAAAAGTTTATACTTTGATTGCAGTTTTATAGAGGCTACAGCAAAGGCCAGCATTCCACTAGTAGTTCCTAGGAGCCCTGTGTGGGGTCTCATGCTTGGCCACATTATGTCAGAGAGTAAGGACACAGCATCCATTCAGGCACATCCCAATCCCACTGCCAAGTCCCATCTCATTGCCATACAGTTTCTTTAGGCCTTAATGTATAAACAATCTGTTCACCCTCTTATATGGGTTCGGTAGCAGACCTGGTATGGATGAAACCAAAGCAATCCGTGTTTAATTACATGCAGCATGATTTCATTTCCTCCTGGCAGCATCTGTAACTAATTCAGCCCTTGAACATGAGGGATGAGAGGATGGAGGCTGTTTTTCCCTCCTTGTATAGATGTAGATATATTTTAAAGATCTTGAGCTAGTTTCCACCCTAGCTGATGGTGCAACATGCACTCTCTGGCAGGAGCACATCATCCCTTTCCCTTT